TCTCTTTCTTTCTGTCTCTCCCACTCAAGGAAGAAATAAATATACTTTAACAATAAAGAGTTGGGCAAAGAGCTCGACTCTGAGTTTGGTAATATCACCACCCACTGTCATCTTAGCACCTACCCCTCAGGGCTATTTTGAAAATTAAATGAGGTAGTGTGTGTTAAAGTGCAGCCTCCGTGGAGCTCAGTCGAGAAGTAATTCCGTATCGGAGAAAGGGCATGGCTTTGTCCATTACGTGATGTGTCGCCTCAGAAGAACGCCCCCTCCCTCAGCTCTGGATTTCCCACCTGTATAATGGGCATTGAAGAAGAGTAATATTGGGTCGTTGGAGAAGTCATGACATATGTTTCTATGTTTTTCCTATGCAAAAATGTGTCATGACTTTTCCAACGACCTGCTAGAGCAGGTATGTTAACATCTACCCTTTATCGTTGCTGTAGGAAATATAGGTAACTCATGTGAAGTTCTTCATATAGCGCCTGGCACAAGAACAGTCCTCAAAATGATAGTAATTGTTGCAATGATTACTGCGTTTACTATGACGATTTTCATCACTCATTTAAAAAGAAGGACAACGTGGTTTTGCAGTTAAGCAGGGAGTCCCTGTGGCTGAATTGCCTTGTTTTAAATTCCAATTCACCACTGCAGCTGTGTGGCTTTGAGTGAGGTACTGAACCTCTCTGTGTCTATATTTCATTAGTTGTATTTCTTAATGGAATAATAATTGTACTTACTTCCTGGAACTGCTGCCATAGTTAAGTAAACTGTGTGTGGAACACTTTGAAACATACTTGCCAAATAGTAGGTATTACACATGTGTTTTCTGTTATTGTCATTAGTAGTAATATCGTCTTTGCATTATTACAGTTATTAAATAGGCTCCGTAAAGCTTTCACCTTGGATCAGATGGAAAGATCCAACAGATTCACCATCTATTAATCTAAAAGCTGCGTGATTTGGGGCAAGTTAGCCCCCCTCTCTGAGCATGCTTCTATTTATTTACAAAAAGTGAATTATAATAGCCCCCATAATGGTACTTCTGGTTTGAGCAATGGCCGTGGGAAGCTTCGAGCTTCTGGTTAATTAGGCCCTTGTCGCAATGCTCTGCCCAAACCCAGCTCCCTACCCCACCAGCCCTCCCTCCTAGCCTTTAGGGAGAACGCTCTTATTCCCTGCGGTGGGGCAGGAGTAGGGGAGGGGTGGAGGGTGGCGGGG